GTACAAAATATCTTCATGGAACATGATCTTTACTTAATATCCTAATGATTTTTGGCATAAAAGAGAAATGTATAATTGTGACCCATACAATGTATTGTTGGCTATTGCTACAAATATCCCCCAGCGACTCAACACTGCTTTTGTGCTCCAGGCTCACAATTGTTCATAAAACCACTCTGACGCATTCCCAAAAGTGTTTGTATTTTCAAAATGTTAATTAGTATGAAAAAACCGAACATAAAAAAGTTAACATTAGTTTCCAGTTTATTATCGATTATTCTAAAGAATCAGTAGTATTTGTCCACAAGCTGAAGCGGAATAATTTGTAAATGATTAAAAATAACATTTATTCAATTAAAAATTTCAATTAAAAAAGTTAAAACATAAGTACATCATAACCTGAACACACATCGATTTATATAGACATTTTTATTAACACTTTATTGAAAGACTTTATGTATAATGCATTATAAAGGGTTATTAATGGGTATATTGCATTATAATTATTCATAATGTGCATTGTAATACATTACATCTTGTCGTAAATAATCATAACCGAATTTAAAATGCGTAGTGCAACAAGGAATTGATAAGTGTTATAATGTATTAACTGTGGTTACAATTATTCATGAGATTGAACGGTGCATTACAAGCCATACTTAATGCATTTAAACTACTTTTATTATGCATTATACATAAAGGCTTTAAGCAAAGTGTTACCACATTTTAATGACATATTCGTATAATACAAAGGTAGAGTTGTAGTTATTAGTCTCTTATTGGCCTGATTAACCAAGCTCTCCATAAAACAAACAAAAAAAGTCCTGAAAATGAATAAAAGAAGCATTATGCAGACACTTTTGGCCATTTTTGGTTTGTAAAATGCTTTTTTACATGTTTGAGCTGAGGTTTTGTTACATTTACACCAGCAGGCGTCACCAGGTTTTGGTGTTTCGAGCACTTCAAAATATTTTATCATTTTATGAAGCAATTGGTTCAATCGATTCAAAGTTTTGAAGCTTTGTTTCTCCCATCACTAATGGACACACGCTTTACTGTTGATCTGAGGTTTACAGTGCGTTTCTGAGTTTATGGGAATGTCCATTTTACATGCAAATTACTGTACTCCAAATTTACACTGATATTTATGAATGTTTCATGAATTGTGCCCAAAACACCTTCATTGTATGGACAAAAAAGTGAGTAAATGATGACAGAAATGTAGCTTGCCGTTCACAGCACTTGCACAGCCATCAGTCACAGGTCAGCAGTGCTATATTTAATTCTGTGTGTAGTACTTCATGTAAGTTTCAGTAATATTGTAAAAGGCCTTCATTTAATAATCCTTTTGAGAACATTCACATGGGTGATCATGTTTGTGGGTACGTCAGTAATGCCACACTTACTGTCAAAAATGATTTAACAGTCACTACATTATGCACTTTATTACCGAAGTACTTATCCTGTGTAATGTTTTCTGCACAACCAAAAGCATTTTTTATATCTCAGATTGCATCTTTTGAAAATCAATATATTGTATAACAAAACAAATCTGTAAAAAAAGCCTCCATTAAGCAAGCCGCCCATCCGATTCAAGCACAAAGATCTGGTTTTTCCTCAATCCAAACATATTTGTCTGACCTGATGCTGTATTTTGGTCTGCAGTCTGTTAATTATTGCATACTTCGTCATACCCTTAGCTCTGCAGTGCCTGCGGCTGCCCATGCATACTAAAGTGTCACCGGTCACAGAGAGAGAGACAAACCCAAAGTGACAGGTTAAATCTAACAAGGTCATATTCGTCTGGAAAGGCTGGTGAATAATGCAGAAACCAGGCGTCCATTTAGATGGCAAAGCTCGAATGCCATAGCACTTTTACCAGTGGAAAAAAGTGTCATATCCTTCTGTGGTCTATCACAATGTGAGTGGGCTTTCCTTCTGAGAAACCAAGATAGGAATCCCTCCAGTTTTGGGAAAGGGTGCTTCCAGGGATTATACAAAAAGATGTTGTTTTCATTTAATTGTAAATAAAATAGTGAGAATTTTAATTTATGCCATAAATTATTCTTATTTTGGATGTAAAATGGGATATAATCTATCTTTTGTATAAGTACCTTTGTAGTTTTTATTTAATGTGTCCTGAGTGCAAAAATAAATATGCATGTTTCTTATGCCTGTCGTGTTTGCTTTGTACACCATGAGATGTCACTAATGCCCTTTTTATTAATGATGACATGCAATCATTTACATAGAGCAGAGAGAGAATTTACAATGCAAATTAGATGCTTCAGGAGACTCCAATATCTGCGTGCACCATGAGCAAAGTTTCACACACAACCACAGCATTCTGTTGAAAGATGAGACAAAAAGGGAAATATGCAAACAAGCATGCATTGGAAAACTAGACAGACCTCCAAAACACTAACATCTGCTACAGAGGAAAAAAGTGAAGGAAGGAAGAAATTCAGCTCTGATGTTTTCTGCGTTGCTCAAATGCTTATCAGATAAAATGACTACCAGACGCAGAGTAGATGCACAAACAAAGCCTGTATTACAGGCCCCATGTGTAAGCCATTTCCCCATGTGTGTTTGTGTGTGTGTGTGTGTGTGTGTGTGTGTTTGTGTGTTTTGAAGAACGTTTTTGTAGTCCATTATAAATGCGCCGGGACTACAACTCCTCGCGTTACGGGTTTATGACGCAAGTGCTTACGTAACTTGAGCGAAGCATGGCGGCCTCCATCAGGACACATGTCCTTAGAGTTCTCTCCGATTTCACGCGAAATATTCCTCATGTTTCCAGGTGTCCAGTCAAGCATGTATGCTGTCGTGCTGGACTCACTGGACGGCGCGGATATAGCGATAGCACAGAGGACAGAAGCACACACACACACACACAGTGGTGGCCAAAATTGTTAGAACACTTGGCGCATTTAAGAGGTTTTTGTTGCTGGAACTACCTGCGACAGAAGGAATCTGCTGGAACATTAAAAGTATGAACTTGCCCCTCAAAGTCCAGACCTCAACCCCATCGAGCAAGTTTGGGGCGAGTTAATTGAGTTAAATAAACTGGACAGATCTATTGTACATTCAAAGGAAAGCCTTTGGCTTGAGCTGCAGAAGGCATGGGATAACATCAGTGTTGAAGTTCTCAGGAAATACTCTGACACTATGCCAGAGAGATGTGCTGCTGTCACTGCTGCAAAAGGTGGACATACCAAATATTAAAGTTAAAAGTGGATAAAAACGGAACGACTCACTTCATCTGATATTTGTTGTGCTCAGAGCAACCATCTGCATGTTTCATGAACATTATGAAATGAAATCATGTTTCTGTCAGGTGTTCTAACAATTTTGGCCACCTCTGTACAAATACAAAGATTGTTTCAAAGCAGCTCAAATTTGCTCACCATCAAAGATGTAGATGAATTTGTTAATTAATTGGAAAAGATTTGAGAAAATTCAGCATTACATCAGCAACGGATGCTCAGCAGTGAATGGGTGCCGTCAGAATGAGAGTCCAAACAGCTGATAAAAACATCACAGTCCACACCACTTCAGCCACATTTGTAGCTCACCAATGGATCCTCTGCAGTGAATGGGTGCCGTCAGAATGAGAGTCCAAACAGCTGATAAAAACATCACAGTCCACACCACTTCAGCCCATCAGTTAACATATTGTAAAAAGCTGTGTTTTTGTAAGAAACAAATAAATTATTAGGGAGTTTTAGCATTAAACCATTGCTTCTGGCCAAAATACCAGTCCATAATCCATTATAATGCTTCCTTCAGTGAATGTATTGCTACAAATATACCCCAGCGACTTAACACTGCTTTTGTGCTCCAGGGTCACATATTTGTTTAGAACTGTTTTCACTTGTAAACAGCGCTTGATCCGTGCGCATATTGCTCTTAATTCAAACAAGATGACTGTTTCACTGGGGAAAGCAATATTGTGGATAGAGGAAGCAATGGTTTGTAGTTAAAAGTTTCTCACAAACACAGCTTTTCACTTCTCCAGATGTTAATTGATGGACTGGAGTGCTGTGGATTACTTGTGGATTATTGTGATGGTTTTATCAGCTGTTTGGACTCTCATTCTGACGGCACCCATTCACTGCTGAGCATCCATTTGTGAGCGAGTGATGCAATGTTGAATTTCTCCAAATCTGTTTTGATGAAGAAACAGTGGCATTTTGTCCAAGATGTCAATGAGTTTATTCATGTTAGTTTAGTTAATATTTAGTGCTGTCAAATGATTAATCATGATTAGTTTTTGTTTACATAATATATGTTTACTATGTATATTTATGTATATATAAATACACACATATGCATGCAAGACAAATGTTAATTTTATATATATAATATAAATTATATGAATATACATGAAAATGCACCCAAAATATATGCCGTATGTGTGTGTATTTATATGTGCATAATAAATATACACAGTACACACTCATATATTATGTAAACTAAAACTTTAATTTTTGATGCGATTAATCGTGATTATTTGTTTGACAGCGCTATTAATATTACTGAATACTAATAGTCTTTTAAAGTGAACATGCACCCTAGATCAGGGCGAGTCTGTGGTTGATCATCTTTGGCTTCCGTTTGATCTAAGAGTTTGAAAACCCTTCCCTAAATTGAGCTCCGTGTTATTCTGCTCTAGGTGACATCTCTTTCCGCTTCCTGGAATACACTCGCTCGATGTATGATCGTCAGCAGCGGATGAGAGCAAAATCCCATCCGGCGCCATCGTGGCAGGACATCGCCGATCGTTACGCGTCAGACGAAGCAGGGCCTCCACAGTCGCACGCAGTGGTGTGTGACGGCAACAAAGACATGAGACAGAGAATGCAGGAATCACGACCGGTGCAGTCATCTTTAACCAAACACTTCGTATCACTTGTGTTTTAGAGGGAACATCGAATGTCGATTGTGTTGTCACATGTTTGCAGGCCTGCCGTGGGCGATGCAGAAGAGCTCCCGTTCGATGACGATCAGTCATTATTATATCAGTCACTATTGTGTTCGGCATCAGAAATGTCACCCACATAGAGCAAGTAAAGACTCTGCACTCCGCATCCGTTTGCTTGAACACGGGTTCAAACTAGACTAAACACATCACAGTACTGAAAGCCGTTTCTTTCCTAGCCCAAACTCGATATAGTGCCCATATTGCTATTTCTCTATATCTAATCTAATATGGTACCATATTTCATGTTGTGGTATTCATTCATTAACATATTGGAAGAGTCTTTGATCATCATGTCACTGTAAGCTGGTTATTATTATTATTATTATTATTTAGTTTGAGATGATGACTCTTTTGGCAGGCTCTAAATTCAGCAAAGTGACCAACCCTCTTCTCGCAAGGTCATTGAACCAGTGTTAGATAGTATTATAGTTTTTATTTTCAGTTTTCATTGTAGTTAATTTGGTTGTTTTTGTCATTTTTTTTATTATTTACCTTTTTTATTTTAGTGTTGTTTTTGTACATTAAATGAATGTTTTTTTAATATTTTTTATAGTGAACATTTAGTATAAGTAACAAAAATGTTTAATGGTTTTAGTTAACTATGATAACCCTACACTGAACATGTTTACAGTCCCTTAACACTGACTTGTTCACTGCATGTAGGTGATTGTAAGGCACTATTTTTTGTAAATACACTTTTTATTTGATTTATTTATTGCAGAATTTTGACATTTATTTTAGCATATTTTCTATAATAACTATATATATATATATAAATATTTTTTTTATCTTTTACTTATTTTAGAGAGGGGATATACAGTGTATAGTATGTAAATTGTTCATGTTTGTTTTTTGGCCAGGCTGTATGATGCATATAGTTTTCAGATGATCCCTGTGTTGGGTGAAGTGATTGCTGGAGACTGGAAGTCATATCAGTATTTGGTGGAGAGTATCCAAAAGTTCCCAGACCAGGTAACAAAATCCACTTCACGTTACAGCAGTTTTGCAGGCATGACACAATAATGTTCTCAGACATCTCATGCAAGTGCAGTTATTTCTTTGCTAAAACCCAAAATCTTCATTTCGTCTAAAATAAAACTGTTAGGTCTTTAAATTTAAGAACCTATAAGACTGTTTCACCAACTACAGGTCTTACTTTTAAGTTTTTCTTTGTGAAAGTCACACTTGGAACTTTGTCCATGCCTGCGTTATTTTTACCGATTTTGAAACCTTTTTTAATCTAAGCAAAGAGTAAAATAAACCATTTGTGACCCTGGACCACAAAACCAGTCATAAGGGTCAGTTTTTTTAAAATTGAGATTTATACATAATCTGAAAGCTGAATAAATAAGCTTGCATTGATGTATGGTTTGTTGAGCCCGGTCTCATGAAAATGCGTATAAATAGTACGCCAAATAAAAACGAAAACTCGTATTGCTATGCAAAAATTGACTTTGGCGTTCATAAGATACGCATGTGTTTGGCGTGCATATAATACGCAGTTTTCGCGTGCATATGATATGCATCTACCCCACAACCCAAAACCTACCCACCGCGTAGCATATACACGCCAAAGTCCATTTTTGCAGATCAATAAGAGGTTGGGTTTGTTTGGATAGGAGGACAATATTTGGCTGAGATACAACTATTTGAAAATCTGGAATCTGAGGGTGCAAAAAAATCTAAATATTGAGAAAATTGCCTTTAAAGTTGTCCAGATGAAGTTCTTAGCAATGCGTATTACTAATAAAAAATTAAGTTTTGATATACTTACGGTAGGGAATTTATTAAATATCTTCATGGAACATGATCTTTACTTAATATCCTAATGATTTTTGGCATAAGAGAAAAATCTATCATTTTGACCCATAGTGTATTTTTGGCTATTGCTAGAAACATACCCGTGCAACTTAAGACTGCTTTTGTGCTCCAGGGTCACATTTGAGTATTTGTGTGAAAAATAATTTTGAGATTGTGAGAGAGCGTCATCAAACTATGTGCCTTCCTCAGGAAACATTCAAGGAAATGATTGAGGATGCTGGCTTCTTCTGTGTCCAGTATTTTAACCTGACCGGAGGAATCGTTGCCGTTCATTCAGGATTCAAGCTCTGAGTGTCAGCATGCAGCGAGTGTTGCCTTCTCTCCAAATCAACTCTGACAAGAAAGAGCGTTGTTCAACAAACAATGAGTGGAGGACATTAAAATGAACACCGTTCGACCAGACACTGGGGTCTCAGCATGAAAAGTCCTTTGTTCGTGTGTTTTTGTTGGTAATGGAAACACTTTCACTCTCTGGCAGACGTTAAAATGTTCTTTAAAGTGTTGTGGGTTTAATTGAGCTGTTGAAAATGGCTTAATTTGTAAAGGCTGATGACATGTGAGCACTCTTTTTATTTGTACAAGATGGACAATGTGTTTGGTTTTTGGTCTGTGGGAAGCACATGCTGACCTAGTAAAAGATGAAATATATTTTGTTCTTTGATCCCTTTACAAAATGTAAGTTTAGTAATGAATGCTCATTCGAGTGTCAGCATGCAGCGAGTGTTGCCTTCTCTCCAAATCAACTCTGACAAGAAAGAGCGTTGTTCAACAAACAATGAGTGGAGGACATTAAAATGAACACCGTTCGACCAGACACTGGGGTCTCAGCATGAAAAGTCCTTTGTTCGTGTGTTTTTGTTGGTAATGGAAACACTTTCACTCTCTGGCAGACGTTAAAATGTTCTTTAAAGTGTTGTGGGTTTAATTGAGCTGTTGAAAATGGCTTAATTTGTAAAGGCTGATGAAATGTGAGCACTCTTTTTATTTGTACAAGATGGACAATGTGTTTGGTTTTGGGTCTGTGGGAAGCACATGCTGACCTAGTAAAAGATGAAATATATTTTGTTCTTTGATCCCTTTACAAAATGTAAGTTTAGTAATGAATGCTCATTTAGAGAGCTGAATTCTTGCTGTAGTCTGAATCTGTATCAAGTGGATCCACACACACTTTTGGAATTGGTTCATAACATGAAAAACATCCCTGTGATGTGTTGTGCTTGGCGAAAATGAAACAGTCAAATGTGTGTTTTTACTTTAATAAAACCATATATTTAAGATCTTTGTACACTTTGTTACAAAACTACTAAAAAATGTAAATCAGTTTTTGGTCAGAGAATATTTAATTGTCTTGTGTGCAATTACCATGTATTTACAAAGTCTCTTATTAGTTATCTAAAAAAACAACAACCTCACAGACACTCTGAACATAAGACATGGCTTAAAGATAAATATATTAGTCAATAAATATTCAGAGAACATATTTCCATTTATGAAATGTGATGCTATACAGATACAGAAATATACACAGATCAAGCTCTAACCTTTAACATTTGTAAAATGATAATGGAGAAAATAATTATATCTTT